TAGGGTTCCGTGTTTCCAGATAAATCTAAAAAAATCCGAAAAACACTCGCCGCTAAATTTTCCCCCAATTCGGATTTATCCGGAAAACTCAGAATTTCGAGGTCACAGCGACAAAATAAGCATAAAAAAAGACAGAGTTTTACAACTAAACTTTAATTAATAATAATTGGGGGTTGTGTGGATATTTATACAGTGTGCACCCTTTCAAAGTCACGAGTCACTCGCTGTAGATGAGAAATTTAACCAGTGCAGTACAACCACTAGCCTGGAGTCTTTAACGTGCACCTCACAGTAGTGATACACTATCGCACGCCGGTACGATGCTCATCCAGATCGAAACAGGCAGGGGTGGGGATTGAGCCCAGGATCCCTGGGTTCTGCAGCGCGAGCTTTCGCTCCACATGCCCCGAGCTGGTGTGAGCTAGCCCACTCAGCCACCGATTCCCCCCATTAAACTTTATAAGAGCACAAACTCAGTGGTCCCGAGGAGATTTCACTTATGTTTCCTTTGAAATCTAACTACTGACAAAATGGGCTTCCCTTTTAGCACGTCAAGGTTCCTTCAGGACAATCGGTGATGGTACCTTATTTATTTCGTTCATGAAATTTCTGAATTTTTTTTTTTTATTTCACTGAGTAAAATAAGCTTTGAATTTCAAAGAATTGGGAATGTAACAAGAATAAACTATGGTTAACCCCAAATCCCTAGCAAAAAAACAAACTCGAAAAACACCCTCCGCATTTCACGAGAAATAATCTCCAAAAACACGGAATCCTACCTATAACCATTCCGAGTTCAAATGGGGCGATTTTACTAATGGCTTGCACAACATTAACTTGACCGACATCCTGAATTCTCTAAACAGGGAAACCTTTTTTAAAAATAAGAGTCACCCCCATCCTTGGACCAGTCTTCAACACAACTCAAGACATGCATCCACTCCGAGGGGTCGTCTTCCTTTCCTAGCCCCTCTTCCCAAAGGCAACGTCGGTAAAAGGTTACGTCCGACCGAGCGACCTCACATGAACATTCCCCCGGTGACTTCCAACACGGAACCCGTCACGTAGGAGCTCCTTGGTGAACAGAGGAACAGGACGGCCTCAGCCACTTCCTCCGGCGTTCCTTTTCGCCCCAGGGGAATGCAGGGTAACAACTTGGCCATGACCCTTTCTGGCACCTGGGCCACCATGGGAGTGTCGATGAAGCCAGGCATGACCGCATTGCAGCGGATGTTGTGCCTCGCAAGTTCGAGGGCAACCGTCTTGGTGAATCCCACGACTCCCGCCTTGGAGGCGGCGTAGTTGCTCTGACCCATGTTGCCGGTCTTGCCGATGATGCTCGAAAGGTTCACAATGGATCCCTCCTGGACATTCTGTGACACCATCTCGCGTGCAGCGGCCTGCGTCACCAGGTAGGTGCCCTGCGAGGATGAAATGTCGGTGAGACTGACGTATGGATGACAAAAAACAGGGATGAAACTCATGAGATACACGGGAGCAGCTGAAACAGCTCTTTTGGAGCAGGTTGGGACCAGCTAAAACTACATTCTGGAGCAGGCTAGGAGCAGCTCAGATCAGTTTTCACTGCACTTCAGCTTGTGTCTTCGACAAGCACGGGAGCAATTTCAATTGTGCTTAGCAGCACAGATGAACATTAGTGGTGAGGGACCTAGGTAGATGGGATAACAGTGTAACAGATGAGAAAACTTGAAACTTTGTGAGCCTTAACGAGAACCAAAAAGCAAGTACCATATATTTCTGACGATAGTGTCCTTGATATTTTCTGAGTGGCTTTGAGCTACTCAAAATGCAAACCAGCACTCCTTATCGCACAACCCACACGTGCTCGACATAGTAATTACTAATTACATGTGCGAACCACGTGACGCGCGTAAGCAATGGACGTGCAGTTGCGCGGAGGAACAGGGCAACAAATTTCGAGTTTATCCTATTGTGCAACTCAATATTGAACCAGCACACTACGATTAATGGAGCTATTGTATTCAAAGTGATAAGCAGGAGCAAGGTTAAAGTATGCCGAGCAGATCTACCGCTCGCGTGAAAGCTGCTGGCCGGCAAGGTCTCGGATCGGACCGCGTTTCAGTTCTATTCAATAATGATTTACCTAGCGGGAATGCGGTTCCAACCTTTAACGATGAAGTTCTGAAAGGAATCTTTTGTTCGTTTGTTTTTAACTGGCTGACGTCCGGATCCCAGGCCGCAGAGCCTCAGGCAATCTGACACTTAACGACTCGACCTCACCTCGGCCAACTTGCTTAACTGCTTATGGTTGAAGAATAACAATCCAGTCGCAGGTGGTGTAGCGCTTGGAATCCGACCCCAGAGTTTTTTTGTGCACTTCCAACTCGGGATACACAGGGAGAATAAACAGAACAAAGGATTGCAAGGTCGATCAAGCTAAACGCATTGATTGTTGCCATTCGAGTCGATAGAAACCGAAACCAAGACAAAAACAATTTTTTTGGCGCATGTTTTACGATTTTTTGCATAATGGCACGAGGTTGGCTGTGGCGAAGTTTCCGCAACATGGCGCAGGATGGCACAGACAAATGCGCCTAGCGCAAAATGATGCAAATGGCACAGCCGTTCCACCCCTGAGAAAAGACACGTCAAACACTGTTCTGTCCTGTGCATGGCACACAAGTGAAGGAGAGGAAGAAATAAGGCAAGGTGTGAGGGAGTGATCACATGTACGACAAAGCTCCACCCCCCCACACCTGCTCCTCGATCCAGAGCATGCATCATCTTGGACGTGGGTTCATTGTTTGTTGAAATGTGTCTGGTAGTTGTTAGTCGACAAAAAAACAATGTACCCTTTAAAGTCTTTCTCCTTCCTGTACTTGTAGGCTCAGTAGTTGGTGGAAAAAAAATAGAAGATTTAACAAAAACCATAGGAGAGGTAAAACAACCGTGGTTTGAACTAGCAGACGATGCTTGCGTTCCGCGCCTGACCCTGAGGTCACTGCTCCCTAAGCTGGAGGAGCAGACGACGATTTTGCTTACTCTGATTGGATGGAGACAGTGGGTAGAGACGAAGGCAGTTAGCCTTTGTGTCAACTCACTATCCTTCTAATCGGAGCTCAGGCCTTTGATGTCTCCAAACCCTCCGCACAAGAAGCAGATGAACTGGCATGTTCTCCGCATATATGAATGTTTCATCTAATCCTGGTTACTGAGTATCTTTTTTTATAGTGTTGAAGGAGTGCCAACTTGCCTCATTTTTTTTTCGCTTTGATTGGACCTTACTAGCCTTCATGCATGTCCATTTGTTTATTTTTATCCGACACCTCTAATCTTATACAAAGCTACAAGGATGCATCAGTTTCCAATAAGGATGGGGGTATAGCCAATGTGACCAGAGATATACCTTCTAGAGCTGGGCATCAATTAAAAAGTTGAACCCTACTAATTGACACCCTTTAATCGATTAATTGGTTTCATTCATTTATATGCATATTTTTTTTAAGAAGATTGAATTAAAAGTTTTTGCCTTTGCTGGATAAGTGAAAATATGGTGCTGTGTACGATTTCAGATTTAAATCAACCTTGATGTGTAGTTGAGAACAGTTGAGACAATTACACTCACAAATTATTACTTTAGCCAAAGAGGCCAAAAGGTTTGTTGACATTCTCCAGCATTAGCGAACTCCTTTGATTCTTCACAATGGTCCCTGCTGTGATAAATGGGTATTCGTGCAGTGTTGAGGTGACTGGGACAAGCATAACCTTCTTCAATTGTTTGGAGCTAAAAATTTTGCCCCTACATTTTACTTTAGGTCAGAATGTCACATAAAGTTGGCCTTCACACAGGTGTACTCGCCCATGTCTGAATGGTGAAAGCATTCAATTTTGACTTTTGTTTGTCAAATTTACCAATTTACCAGCTTAAAAAGAATAATTGTGATTAAAGCCTTAAAGAGGCCCAGCAAGGACTGTTGTACTGGTTTTTAATTTGCACCGAACCTGAGCGCAATGAACATAAAAACTTAATGAAACTTTTCTTTTCTCGAATTTCGCTTTATTTTAAAAGTTATAGGCAAATTGAAATTACAAAAACCAGCAAAAAATGACCTCCTTCATGACGTCCTGGGTTGCTTGAGTGGCTGCGAACTAGAGAAAAGGTACTGAGCTCAGCGAGAGCTCACGGCTCTCGCACTCCGTGTCGACGGCGCAAAAGGGCGCCACTAAAGAATGTTCTGGATAGGCTGTATGCAGCGGGCAGCCAGAGTGGCTCTCATTGCATTTGCTGCGCGATTAAACACTAATTTGGCATGACACTTCATTGGCCACAAATGACACCAAACACGGGGTAAAGATCAGTTCAGAATGGGAGCCACTTTGCGCTGCCATACCACGAAACAGCCAAACCGCAAGACAAAGCTGCTCGCCGAAGGCCTTGGGAACGCTCGGAGCCAGTCGGATCCTCCAGTCGATACGACCGCAGGGCCACCTGATCCTACTACTTCTTTCTAGCATGCGCTGCTTTTTTTATCGCTTGGTGGCGGGTATGTCGACGGGTCATTTCTTGTTTCCGTACCTTCTAAACTGCATTTGTTTCTTTTCTGATCTAAAATACTGAACAAAAACTACTTTTATAAATAATTGAAACGGTTCGCGCCACTTATATTTTGTATTTTGACTAAAAAAAATGCTTTTAGCGGCTCTAACCAGAAGTAAGCCCAGGACAAAATATGTGACATATTTTGGCTGGGCTTACTTCTGGTTAGAGCTTTAGGCATTGCGGGTCGCCCTTGTAGGTGGAGGAGGTTTCCACGTCGTCCGGTTAAAATATGATGAACTGATATCCAGTGCCCGCTGGGTTGCCCGAACCTCAAAAGACGTGGAAACCGCAAAAAAGGTAGATGCTTAAATATGATTGCAAGGTCCCTTCAAGGGGCCCTGCAATCATATGTCAGCGTCTACCTTTTTTGCGGTTTCCACGTCTCCTGAGGTTCGGGCAACCCAACAGGCACGGAGAGAGTAACTAAATATCAGTGCATCATATTTAAACCGGACGACGTGGAAACCTCCTCTACCTACAAGGGCGCCCCGCAGTGCTTAAAGCGCACAATATGTGACGTCTTTGGTCCTGGACTTCCTACTGGTCAAAGCCGCTAAAAGCTTATTTTTAGTCGAAATACAAAATATATGTGGCGCGAACCATTTCAATTATTTATAAAAGCAGTTTGTGTTCAGTATTTTAGATCAGAAAAAAAAACAAATGCAGTTTAGAAAGTACAAAAACAAGAAATGACCCATCGACATACCCGCCACCAAGCGGTGGAAAAGGCGGCGCATACTAGAAAAGTGCAGTGGGATCAGGCACCAACGAGCGACGAGCGTAGAAAGGTCCCGGATGTATGCAGCAGCACTGCGGTCGTATGGACTGGAAGATCCGACCGGTTCTGAGCGTTCCCAAGGCCTTCCGCAAACAGCTTTGGCTTGCAGTTTGACCTTTTGGTAGTATGGCAGCATCTGATCAGCATATTGCAACTAGGTAACAGAATGTAAAAGCTGTGCAAACGAGGTTGAGAAGCCATTTAAAAGACCGCTTGGCACATGAAGGTTCCCGGTTTTGCCACAAGATGGTGTGGGCAAGCTAGGAAAACTCGTTGTCACATTCAAACTCACTTTGTCTTGAACAGTACACGGTGCCTATACTCCGCGACAACTTTTCTTGGCAATGCATTGGAAGGTACAGGCATGCGTTCCGTCTCTCACATTGAGTGCAGTAAAGCTGTGCGCGGGCTCTCCTCCTCTTCCCGCTTCCGGGGGGAGGAGGAGAGCCCGCGCACACTCAAAATGGGAGGGGGAACACAGGCCTGTACCTTCCACTGCATTGTCAAGAAAAGTTGTCGCGGAGTATAGTCGACAGGCTGTGACGTCACCTTAGATTGCTTTGGCAGAGCGCTATGGATGGCATCGAACAAGCATAACAGCCCTAACAGTGTCATACCTTGAGGTTGACCGTGTTGACACTGTCGAATGCCTCCTCAGTCATGTCAAGGAGAAAGCTGTCCCGGGTGATCCCGGCACAGTTTACGACAACGCTGACAGGGACGGAGTAAAGCTTCTTGATGTCCCCGAACAAGGTCTGCACGGAATCTGAGGAGCCTACGTCGACCTCCAGTGCATGATGTTCGTGTGCACCTGAAAATAAATACATGAACACTGTTTGAAATACTGTTAAACTATTAACGGTATATTTAGAGGTGTGTTCAAACCAACGTATGAAACTTGATCCACTTCATTCGCATGGCAAAAACGGCTGCCAGGTATGATTTGTAAGCAGTGATAGAATGCAGGCGGCAAGCTGGTAATTAATCGACATCTTGTAAACCCTGAGATGGGGTTTACAAGGGAGATGGGGGCCATGTCACTCTGGAGGGCAGTATTGCCC